GGGCCATGAGGCATATGGGGAGAAGGAGGGGCTTCAGCATCTGGCTTCCCACCCTGGAAGTGTTAACTTCATTGTATGTCATTCTGGGGAAGAGTTGTGCTCTGGAAGGGTGGCTTATTAAATTTTAAAATTTAATAAAGCCTGCTTTGGGTTGGTTATTGAGGTGGGTGTCCCAGGGCTGGTTTTTCTTTTCCATTGGAATTCTGTCTTGCTGTTTAAGTTGCTCAGAAATGCGTTCTGGGCTTTCTGCATCTTGCATTCCGCATTGCCCTAGGGAGAGTGACACAGCTGCATCACTTAAGGCTTTTGTTGAATACAGTGGGTGACAGCATCACATGGCGTCTTCCAACTGCTCAGTGGTTCAGTGCTGCGGCAATAGCTCTGCTTTGCTGTCTCCTTGATGCTTGTCAGAAGACCTGCTTCACTCCTGGGAGCACAAGATGGGTGCTTGCATGCTATTAGAAAGTCTTGGCAGGGTGCAAGTTAATTGGTAGAACCTACTGGATTATGGATGAAGGAGACGTGAATGGTCTTTCCCCCCTGGCAACCAGCACAGCCTTGTGACTCTATCCCTGTGGTTCTCCAGATGTTGGTGGGCCACAAGTCCCATCATCACTGATGATTTGCCATGCTGGTTGAGGCTGATTGGAGAGTGCCACAGGCTCCCCATCCCTGATCTACAACCAAGTTTAGCCTGTGCTCCTTTTCTCTTTCTCTCACTGGATGTGTGCTCACCTGGTCTGTCTCCCATGCAGTTCCCCTTTCCAGATACATAGTTTGCCTTTTAGAAGAGAGAATATCAGGGATAGCTGATATCTAGGTATAGCTCAGTTGGTAGAGAATGAGAATCGATTTCAGGGTTGTGGGTTCCGGTCCCATGTTGGACAAATGATTGCAGGGGTTGGACTAGATGGCTCTTGGTGTCCCTTCCAACTCTACAGTTCTATGATCAGAGGTCCCATACTTTCTCTTTTTTCATGTTGCTTGGGCCCAGGTTACTCAAAGGATCCTAAACTTGCTTGAATCTTGAGATTGTCATCAGAAGCCCTTTTATCTAGTGACGTTAGATGAGTGGTTAGTAGGGAGAGGGCCTTTTATGTGGTGGCACCCCACTTCTAGAACGCCTTCCCCAGTGAGGCTTACCTGCCCTTCTCTGCACCAGGTGAATGCCTTTTCATCGCAGTGGGTACATCTATCCCACCTTACTAAGATTTCTGCTGGTTTTAAATTGTTTTGGCTGCGTGATTATGCTGCTTTTAGATGGGTTTTGCGGCTGAGATTTATTTCATAGCAGGTCTAAGTATTTTTGTTGTCAATTGGATTGCCTTTTCCATTTTTAATGTCTCTGTAAACACCCTAGAAATCTTAGCTATGTGGGTGGTATACAAATGTAGTAAATAAATATGGGTGGCATAGAACTGTGGTAAGTAAATAAATGCGACTCCCTTTTCTATTGCTTGGCTCATCTGCTTGCTTTGTGATTTGGTAATGGTTGATACAGGAGTCTTCAGCAATCTGTGTCTATGGATCGAGTGCTTAGTGCTCTCTCTCTCGTATTCATTGTATTTGCGATGAGTTATGCTTGGCTGTATGGGGCCCCTACAAAGTTCTCCAGCCAGATGACCTCCAGATGATGTTGGATTGTAACTCCCATCATCCTTGACCATTGGCTGTGCTGTCTGGGACTGAGCCCAAAACACCTGGAAGGCACAAGGTTGGGCAAAGCTTCTCTATGATTGCTCACTGTGTTTTGCCTTTGATATACTGGTGATTATTTGCTGCTATGCTTTGAATTGGCGCTTGTGCAGTCTGGGGCTGCGCCATCATCTGCTCCAGAAATGGGTGTGGCCTTTTATGAAAAACAAGGGTCTAGTTGTGATCCTCCTCCTCCAACCTGTCCAGTTCGTTCCTACACTTGTACTGGTGGGGAACATGTGATTTGTGAGTGAAACTTGACCCTTCTTGGATCCTCAGTGTTTTTCCATAGGTTATTCTTGTTCTTAGGCTATCTCATATTGAATAGTTTTGTCATGCTGTTGGCTTGGGTGCAATTGTGGAGCGTCTGCGTCAAACATTGGCAACCGGGTGCCCTCCAGATATTCTGGACAACAGCTCCCATCAGCCTCAGCCAGTATGATGAATGGTCAATAATTATGGGAATTGTAGTCAGGAACATCTTGAGGGCACCAGGTTCCGTTCCCCAGCTCTATGCTGTTGTTCCCATAGTACTGGGTTTGGAGTATGGTGTTTTAGGCTAATACATGTTTTAGCACAGTGTTGACTGATGCAGTGAGAGGGTCCCTCACCCCTCCCATTCCAGATCTCTACCCATATGCATTGCACAAGGTCTTGAGCCGTGCAGTTGTACCTGCGTGACTGCTAGATGTGGCTGTGTGATCTGCCAGAGGTGTGCTGGTGCACGGCAATGGGACGCTGTGTACTGCAAGGGCACTTAGATGTAAGCAGCATGTGATCATGGAGCGCCTAATTCTTTTCTGCAAACTGATACCCTCCCTCCTGGTGTTTTGGACTACAACTCCCATTGGCCCCCATGCTGGCTGGGGCTGATGGGAGTTGCAGTCGAAAACACCTGGAGAGTCACCAGGTTGGAGAAAACCGGCCCAGCTTCTGCCTTGGTTTGGTTGGCATCTTGGATTCGATGGAAGTCAGTAGCAGGGACTTTCCAGTAGTTGGCAGCCGTTCCAAGGATACACTGAGGAGCAGAGGGAGATAACTGAGTGAGAGCGAAGAGGGAACTGGGACTTTCTGTTGCTGCTTCCTTGGTTCTTTCTGTGTTTAGGGAATTGTTTGATTATTTGGGTTGCAGTACACAGTGCAAGGAGAAATATAAATAATCCCCTTGCACTATGTAGCTGGTTTCTCTCTCTCTCTTTAAAAAATGTACCAGATTGATTCTCTATTTCTGGCATCCCTCCAGACCTCTTAATCCTGCCAAAAATGTGTTAGGATTTTTTTTAAAGTACATGGTGTACTTCTTTTTGTTCCTGTGGCCGCTTTCCTTTTTTTATCTTTGAGAAAGCCCCTGTACTGTCAGGGGAACACCTCTGTGGTTCTGATTAGCAGCATGATGCAGCATTTGCACCAAGTTCCTTGTCTGCAGTCAATAAAATAAAAGAAGCCCACAAATGCCACAGTAGCATTGTAAATGAATTGGGGCGAAGTTGGGGGAGCTTGCCTTATCTCTGGAAGGATTTGGTTGACCTTCTATCATTTACAGTGGTACCTCGGGTTAAGAACTTAATTCGTTCTGGAGCTCTGTTCTTAACCTGAAATTGTTCTTAACCTGAAGCACCACTTTAGCTAATGGGGCCTCCCGCTGCCGCTGCTGCGTGATTTCTGTTCTCATCCTGAAGCAAAGTTCTTAACCTGAGGTACTATTTCTGGGTTAGTGGAGTCTGTAACCTGACGCGTCTGTAACGCGAGGTACCACTGTACACATTCACCATCTCTTTCAGTGGTTGATGATAGTCTGTTTCAATGAGCCCTTTAAAAAATGAAGATTGGTTTTTATACATAACAGATACATTACATAACAACTCCCCCATCTCCATACCTACATAATAGGTATCAGATTTTACATTGAAATAAAAGATTATTACTAAGTCATACAAATTATACAAATGTCCAGCATATAAAGTTCTGGAGACAGCATAAAAGCTTTTTGTTTGTTTGTATGTTTTAAATCTATTACAGATAAATCATTTCGGGGGGCAGGAATAGTTCAAGCTGTGCTGTTCAGAAGAGCCGTATCTGCAAAGATGCTTTGGATAATTTATCTTTAAGACCAGTTTCATTTGTTTATTACAAAAATGGCAACAGTATTGTGTGTATTTGGCCCTTTCTGAACATTTCAGGCCTGGGAAGGATCATGGAAGAAAGAATGGCTTTCTTGAGATGAGTCACGGTGTGTTGAAAGCTTTTGGGGTGTTTATATGTCTCCCTATTAATCATTGGTTCACATACTCTATGCACACACTATTCAATGCAATTCCCCGTCACTTTCCTAACCGCAAAGAATCAGTTTCTTTTTTAAAGTGGATTTGTTGTGCTAGGGTGGGTAGCAGAGCACATTAATCCCTTTTAATTGCTCAAACCTAAATGTCTTGGTATGAGTTTGAATGCCTCTGGTAAAGCACTGGCAGTTTGGAAGCGCCCGCAATCAGCCAGTTTATAGTCTTAATCCATTTTGGGTTGCTTCCTCCTGTATCCTCCCACTTGGAGCCTCTACTTTTGCATTGGTAGGCCGTCCAGAGAAGCATCTTTACCAGGCTGCACATTATCCATCATTTTGCACCTTTTCTCCATAAAAGCAGACTTTGCCAACTGGTTGTGAAAGGAATCAACAATCTGGGACATGGGAACTAGACATTAGTTACATCCGTTGAATATCCAAGAGAAGCAGCTGCATATGGTTTCGAGTAATAAGCTTTGAACTGTGCATTAATATAATTGGGATAATGTGTAATTTGCCCATTAGGCAGCTTAATAGATGGGATTATTTTTTTCCTGTTTTTTTAAACTTGTTTCTACAAGCAAAGCGGCACCTCGCCTTTCCTACCCGTTCTCAGAACTGTTGACAAATGTAGTGTAGATAGAATTTGGTTTTGTAAGATTGCAAAACACGTCTCTCTTGTTTTTTACTTCACCTCCAAACACTCTCTTTTTGAACCTGAGATGTATTAGAACAGGAATGGAAAACCTGTTCACCCCCCCATCATCCCTGACCACTGGCCATGCAGTGAAATCCCACAACATCTAGAGGACCACAGGTTCCCCATCTCTGCATTAGACAGTTCATTTTAAGGGATCTAGCAAAAAGCAGAAATCTCTGACAGTGAAGGTCTTTAATCTTTGCATCTAGTTAGGTGTTTAACCATATATTTGGAGCCTTGAAAGAGGACATTGAATCATAGAATTGTAGAGTTGGAAGGGACCATGAGGGTCATCTAGTCCAACCCCCCTGCAATGCAGGTATCTTTTGCACAACGTGGGGCTCGAACTCACGACCCTGAGATGAAAAGCCTCATGCTCTACCAACTGAGCTATCCCAGATGGACATGTGGTTATGGAGGATGGAAAACAGGAGGGTGTATTTCAGCTGCTATAGCAAAGTGCCTGTATCAACCTAGAGACTCTTGAGATTTTGCCTCCAAATACTGTACTGGATGCTTGAAACAAACATTCTCCCCCCATTCAAAACAAACAAACCCCACACAAAACCTGGATGAGAGATAGACACCCGTACTTCCCAAGAATATTCCCTGTAGCAGAGGGAAATATGCAGATGTTAGTCTTGTGCATCTGGTTTTTGTGTGTGTGGCAATTTGCATTGTAAGGAGTTGATGGCAGACTCTGTGGAGGCCCAACACCACATCACAATTGGTGGGCGCTTCCGCATTAGAGTGAATGGGGCATTGGCTCACCATTCATAGCCTACCCACTACCAGGGCACATCTGGCTTCTTCCTTCCAATTAGTCCATAGGGTAGCTCTACCTGTCAGCTTTCTCCTCCTTTAGTCTCAGGGTTGCTCTTGAAGAACCAAAGGCACGTAAGCAAGCTGCAGTTAATGGATATTTGGAACACCCTCCCTGGGGAAGCTAGACTGGCTTTCTCCTTGTCCTTCTGCCAACAGGTGAAGACTTTTTTGTTCCAACAGGCTTTTGGGAAATGACTGCTTTTAACGAAAGGGCTGGTGCCGTGCTGTTTTTATTTGGATGGTTTTAATAGATAGATAGATAGTTTTACCTCTGACGACGTTTAATTGTTTTTAATGATTTTTTTCCCTTTGTTTTTATCCGTTTTCATTTTTATGTGTAAGCCGCTTTGAGTCCCATTAGGGGAAAAGATGGGGTATAAATATTTGGGGTGCATTGGCCCTGTCTCCTGGGCACCATGAAGCTGTCCCTTTATCCGGTACAGATTCTCAAGCATAACGATAGGAGTGCCGTACTCCCCCCCCCCCCAATACCAGATGTTCTAGGGAACTTTATTGTTATTTCAGAGTTTTTAATTAAGGACTGCAGGTGCGCAGCCATAAATTAACTGTGTGTGTGTGTGTGTTTGCATGTGTGCGCGCACACATTGCATATTATATTGTAATGATTCCTGTTTTCAGTAGAGACAAGTAGCACAAATGAAATTCTTGCAGCAAAATGCCACTGCTGTTTAAGGTAAGTGCTACAATGCTGTGGAGTAAAAAGTCCGTCATTGTCAATGATCCATATACTGGCAATTACCTGCTGAGCAGGATTAGGTGACTTCTGCCTCTTCCTGCATCTTTACTGATGTTGGCGTTGTGTATCTAACCAGGGATGAAATCCTACTATACAGTGCTGCATAGCAGAAAATAACCTTCCCAACAGGTGCGATCGGAAAATGGTTTTGGAATTGATAGGTGAACCCAGTGACTATACCCCTCTTATATTGCAGTAACTCCCAGGGTGGATTCTCATTCTTAGCAGGCATGTGAAATGTTGCCATACTAGGACACGGTGGACTGTAGACTCCCACCACTTGATCAGAAGACCAGCATTATTACCGTTCTGAGAAGCCGTAGCAGCATGGGGATAACACTATACTTATATTATTAATTAATTCGTGAATGTATCCTTTACAGTGGAACCTCGTGTTACGTACCGTCCTCCTTGCAAACGCTGCGGGTTTGAACTCCGCTAACCTGGAAGTAGATGCGCCTTGTTGCAAACTTTGCCCTGGGATGTGAGTGGAAGTCGCGTGCCGGCAGCAGTGGGAGGCGCCATTAGTGAAAGCGCGCCTCATGTTACAAGTGGTTTTGGGTTACAAACAGACCTCTGGAACGGATTAAGTTTGTAACCGGAGTACCACTGTAATGCCAAAATAGGTTTCTAAGTGGTTTAAAGGTATAAAAACATTTGAAATATTATCTGCTATAATTAAAACATGCAGTTTTTAAATTGGATCTGTGACCATATAATAAAAATTATTGTTATTGTACAATATACAAGACAATAATGTCATTAAAACAACACAGTTATTAAAGTGGGGGCTCAGGTTGAGAGATCAAGTGAACATCCCTGGAATGCTGGTAACAGATGGAGCCTCTTGTATCTCAGCAGCTTGCGGAAAGGCCCACCTTTATAACACCAAGTCTATGCTTGGATACCATTGGACACCATCTTGAATCAAGATGGCGGACTGAACCTCTCAAAACAGCATTGATATTAACCACTGGTTTCAAAATTGCACTGATTTTCTGGTTTCTTAGAATTCCTGATACATTCTGTGTACAAGGCTGTTAGTAATCACATTATTGGAATTGCCTTACCTCAGCCTACCTCATGGATATATTTTGATAGACCAATGCCTTTTTGGAGCAGGGCAGGCATGACTCATCCTCTCTGTTAATCATGGTTAATGGTTGGAAGCCAGCCCTTGAACACCTTGTCCTGCATTGCAAAACCCCTTTCCTGATGAAAATCCCATCACTACTTCTGAGAGCAGGTACCATCCTTGGGTCTTTCCAGAGCTGGCTGGAGATTTTTTTTTATTTTTCCAGCACTTTAAACCTCTGCTAGCTCTCTTAGCTTTCATTCTGCCGTGATTCCTCCCCCCCCCCTTTTGTTTAATTGCCCTCCTGTTTTAATCACAAACAAAATTCTATTTGAAGCCTGTGTTTAATTGTTACACCAACTGGCTTGCTGCCCTGGCAGCAGCAGTACTGAAGCCCAGCTACTATAGAAATGGTAACCAATGAATAAGGATTTGGGGAAATCAGATGGTGGTTCTTAAAAATCTGCAAAGCAGCCAGAAAGGGGAAATAACTGCTTTTTGACTTTTGTCTTAACTTTTCTGGCAACTGGATGGAGAGAGTGAATTGCCAGCCCTTAGACCCTAGGCTCTTGTACTTGCTCTCAGCCTCCCCCCACCCTGTCCTGCCCCCACCCAGCAGTGACCACCATCTCCTGACTAAATTTGCAAAGCCTTGCCTGCTGCGATCTGGATTCTCTAGTGGACTGGTACATTGATGAGCTCTTTCCTTCCACTTCCATCTATGCAGAAACCAAAGGGGATGAGAAACCAATGTAGCATGTGCAACCTGCAGCCAGGCTTGCAACTAGCTCCTGCCCTGTCCCAGAGGCATGGTGTATGTGTGACTACCAGGCAGTAAAATATTTATACGGCGGTAACTTCTGTGGACTTCATTTGAAGCCGTCTTTAATATGTGTCAATTGATATTCTGTCTTCTCCAAAACTCCTGTTTCCTGCTCGGTATCTTATTACTGTTCTGATTTTGCTTTCTTTCTTTTTTAAAACAGGCTGAACATATTGCTGGCTGGGATGAACCCCTTCTATTTCCACGCCGTGAATGTAGTCCTGCACTGCCTGGTGACCCTTGTGCTGATGTACACTTGTGACAAAGCCGTCTTCAAGGACAGCCGCCTGGCTTTCGTCACGGCCCTCTTCTTCGCTGTCCACCCCATTCACACTGAGGCCGTATGTATATAGGAGAAGCAGCTAAAGGGGCAAGGGGCTTGTAATCCAGCTTTGTGGAAGCACAGACCTCCCAGTAATTGGAAATCTACCCTTTTTCCACGATAAGAGCTGTGCTGACTCAGTAGAAAGCAGCTTAGTAATGATAACTGTGGCACGCTTGCGTCAAAAGATGAGCGAGAATTGCACCACCGTATTTAGAGAAAAGGACTGGTGTGGCAGGGGAGGGGAAGAATTAATTTTCTCTCTCCATGATAATTCCTAGTCCTGAGAAGGTTTGCTTAGTTGTAAGTATACATGCCTTTGTGCTAGAATTATGATCCTGATTAAGTGCCTAACGCAGTGTTGCTAGGAATGAATACCAAGGGTTTTTCGCTGAAGAATAATGAGACGCTTAGCAGTTGCACAATACATATATTTTTTTTAAAAAAATCCTTCTGAGATGTCTGTCCTGCTGAGACATTGTTTGGCTTCCTTTTCTTCCTCTAGCATTCTCTCTCTTAACACAAAGAAGTAACCCAGCATTCAACAAGCTCTCCAAGTTTTATTACGTCTTGAGAGAATAATGAATGTTGCAACATGCCCACAGATTGCATCGTGCGTATGGTTACAAATTGGAAGAGCTGAAAACATTGATCAGTTAATCATTGTGATTCATTTATAAGTGACTGGAGCACTGATTTCTAAAACAAGCTGGCAACAGCATGTCACAGCTAATATGAAGCCCTGCTCCCCTAATATATCTTAAATACTGATTTTTTAAAGATTTCATTCCTTTCCTGGGAGTAAGTATCAACGAACTCAATGGAACTTATTTCTACATAGACTAGTGTACTAGGGTATTGTTACCAGAGTGTTCAAGGCACTTAGATATTACCGATACATTGTAATCCCTAAAACTTCCCTGTAAAGAAGGTCAGCATAATTATTCTCATATTGCAAATGAAGAGCTGAGACTGTCTTAACTATATGGTGAATTTAGGAACATAAAAACCTGCCTTTATGTTTCAGTGATCACACCTTTGGTCCATCAAGCTCAGTATCGTCTGGCAGAAACTCTCCAGGGTTTCAGACTAGTGTCTCTCCCAGTCCTACCTGGAGATTCCTGATTTATAGTCTTTTAGCCATTACACTGCAGTTCATTGACTAAAGTTTGCCAAGAGTGCAATATTCTGTTTTATTTTTCGAGGGGTGGATAAAATATTTCCGATTTGACATAAATCCGATGAAGTTTCAGGAACTGGAGTCAGAATTCTAAAAGCCTGGATAACTAGGAACCCTGGGACTGTGGTTTCAAGGGTGTAACTCCAATGGAAGTCATTTCAAGGCCTGTCAGGAGGGCAGAGGGCTCTTGTGCTTGGATCCTGCTTGTGAGTTTCCCATGGGCATCTCATTGGCCACTGGATTAGAGGGCCATTGGCCCGATCCAGCGGGCTCCTCCTGTGTTCTTAAATGTTTAGTGCATTGGGGGCCTGAGAGTCCACACAACCCTCTCAGCATTCCATGTGGCAGAGAAACAGAACTTGAAGAAGAGTTCATGGAGAGAGAAGTCTTAACAGGTTATCAGAGGCTCCTGGA